GCTATTTAATCTAAACCTTGGAACAACTTCCCCGGGGTCAGTGATATTCTATTGACTTTCATAACATAGAATTGCTGAAAGATCCATCTTCGGGGCTGCTGCTTCTATTTCTTATTTCTGGGTGCAGTTTAACACACAATGAACTGGTTCTGAATTACTATGTAATTTGCCTGGCTGTTCATTGTCTTCCCTCTTTTTTGTTGATTCTGAGTAAGGATTAAAAGGATATTTTCATGCAAGTTGTTGGTGATTGTGATTCTTACATAGATAGGCCGTTCACTATTATTTGTATAATCCGCTTATACTTGTTTTAATGAAAGCTGCCAGGCTTGGCGCTCAGTGAACTTTGCCCTCTGCTTCTTCTTAACTGTGTGGGACACGTAACTGTACAGTGATTATCCACCTTCCTCTTTATGTATCTGCCTAATGACTCACTTCCCAAGAGAAATGGGAAATGCAAGGTGGAGGTAAAGAATTGTTTAACAGTCACATGGTGAAACCAGTGAGAATGAAACTCTTCTTTCTTTTGAATGTTTACTGGAGAATTAAAGAATAGAACTACTTAGTGGAATTTCTCTTTAGAGAAAAGAATCATGAGACATTCCATAATTTCTCCCCCCAAATTATGTCATACTTCAAACCATTTTAAGTAGAGTTATTCTTGTTTCCCTATAACCGCCTTTTTCACTGTAGACTCCCGAACCTCTTTTTGCCCAAATAATTAGTGTATCAGACAGCTTTCCATCACTGTTATGAAATACTTGAGATAATCAGCTTTAAAAAGAAGAAAGGTCTACTTTGGCCCACAGTTTTTTAGGTTTCAGTCCATGACCTCACTGATTTTGGGCCTGTGTCAAGGCAACACATGGTGGGGATCACAGAGCAAGCTACTCACTTCATGGTGCAGGAAAAGACAGCAAGGTGGCAGGGTCCTAATTTCCCCTTGAAGGATACCCCCAGTGACTACTGGACATCCCAGAGGGCTATGCCTCTTAAACGTTACACCACTTTCTGATAGCACCACAGGCTGGGAATCAACCTTTTCACATGGGAGCTTTTGGGATGCTAATCCAAACCAGTGAAGCCAGCATGAGTCTGTAGCATTAGATACAGGGATAAACATCACCCACCACTGGGCTGCCACTTGAGCTGGAGTAGTATGAGGTGTGGCTGCAAGACTTTCAGGGATTAGGACAGTCAGGCCTCCCAGTCTGTCTATAAGGTGTTTGGCACCTTTCATCACTTGCTGTACAAACCTGACTTAACTTACATGTCTTGCATTACTCAACACAAGAAATTCTGTCTGTGAGGCTGTGCATTCTTTGCCCTAAACAATATCCCACTTATAAATTTGCCTTAGATTTTTAGGAAAATAAATATGCTTCATGATATTTGCCAAACACTTAGAGCCACATACCATCCTATTGAGGTAGAGTGTGTGTGTGTGTGTGTGTGTGTGTGTGTGTGTGTGTGTGTGCTTGTGTACTTGCTTGTGCATTGGAGGAAAGCCCCGGTTTATTCTAGGAATGTGTTTTAATACAAAAATTTGGCCATTTCCATTGAAATGCTTTATATCTCTGTATATACCCTTAGGTATTGTATCTTAATGCAATTAATAACACCATAACCAATAATAGTAATGGGATGGTATTAGTCCCTCTAGTGAAGGCATGAGGTAGAATAGCAATGAGAAACGTTTTCTAATTTGGAGGCTTTGAGGGCTGGGTTGTGGCAGTGTTTTCTATTTCTATAATTAATATAGTGAAACCCTATAATTAATATTATTTACAAAAATTAATATTACTTTCATCAAAATGATCTACTACTTCAACTCTGAAAGCCACATATCAGTATTCTGCTTCATTTATGTAAATTGAATTATTTTCAATCTGGATAATCTTCTTATACAGTGTGGATTTCTGTGATTATTCCTTCTGTGCCTTCTATTATCAAGGATAATTAAGATTTGACAATTTTAACAGCTAATTAAATAGTCTTAATATCTGATACTGAGAAAAATTCATTATAAAATACTGATCCAATTACTTCATTTATGTAAACATTCATCAAAAATGAACTTGGAAAAAAAAGGAGCTTAAATAAATTTCAGCAGTAGCTATCATTATATAATGAACAATAACCTTTCCTTGTTAACTGAATTTAAGGATGCATTACCTACCAGGTAATGTAAAAATAACTATTTCATGTCTTATATTATGGATTTAAAAATATGAATCTAATTATATTTTCTACATTAAAATCTCCATTCATTGCAAGAGTTTCTCAATCTTACCACTATTGATATTGGGGCTGGATAATTCTTTTCTGTGTGGGGAGATGCTACATCACTGTAGGCTGTTCAGCATCTTCCCAGATCTCCACTTATTTCATGCCATTAGCACCCCCTAAAATGTGAAAATTAAAACTGGGTCCAGACATGGCCAAATATCTCAGTTAGGGGTGTGTGTGTGTGTGTGTGTGTGAAGTCAGCCCAACTTAAGAACTATTTATACATTGGTAATTTGACCATTTCCATTGCAATGCTTTATATCTCTTTATATACCCTCAGGTTTTGTATCTTAATGCAATAACAACAACATAACAAATAATAGTAATGGGATGGCATTAGCCCCTCTAGTGAAGGCATGCCTCTAGTGAAGGCATGAGGTAGAATAGCAATGAGAAATGTTTTCGAATTTGTAGGCTTTAGGCCTGGGTTGTGGCAATGTTTTCCTGCCTCCAACATTTTTAGAAGCCCAACACTTCTACTTTCTCTTTTGTCTAGATATTTTTATCAGTGATAATCATAGCAGCTATAACATTTTTTAGAAGACTCACAGGTTCCCGGCTGGATCCCCCAGTGTCTCCTGACTGGTTCCAAATGAACTTCCTCCAAGTCAAGGAGCACCTGAGCATCTGAGCAAGGGGTGACTGCAGCAACTAAAGCATAGAGTAGCTTGGCAACTCCTGGAGGCTATATTGGTATTAAGCCATCAACACCTTCAATTTCATTTGTGGTCATATTGACCCCAGAGGTAAAGAATGATTCTATTCATTGAGAATTGTTTAAATGTCAGAACAGACTGTCTTAGGAAAATTTGTATGCCCCCTCCAACAATCTAGTTTCAAATTCGGTTCTTTGGTGCATTTCCATTAAGCCAGTCAAAGAGGAATACCCCAGCCATTTGCCACGAGAGTATGAATAACTGGCAACAGCTGACATCACAGCACGGGAAGTGTTTTTCTCTGCTCAAGGGATGTCATAATAAAATGAAAACTGTTTTCCCTCAAATAGATGTTGAGCCCACAATAATAAATGCTTGGACTCAGATATCTGAGCATAGGGCTGGGAATTTAGCTCAGCGATGCCATTGCCTGCCTTGTAAGTGCAAGGCCCTGAGTCTGAACAACAACAAAAAAAAAAGTCTCTGACAGTAAAGACTTTTGCGAAGGATGGAAATAGGATCCTCACTGTTTTTTTCAGATTTACTTATTCCTTGGCTTTAGAGTTTCTTGTAGTCTGCTATACAGAGTGAGAGACACTGGTGCAAAAAAAAAAAAAGCTACCTTAAAAAACAAGTTTTGAATCAAACCCAACTGGATTGCTTACAAGCTCTGAATAGTAGATGTTCTCTTCCACTTCAATTTGTTAAAAACTAACAGGTTCGTCTTCAGGCTTCCACTTTAAATTTCAGCCACGATGGAGTACTTTCATCTTGGTTCAGAAAACCTGACATATCTGGCCATGCAGTTGTGCCTTCACAAAGTGTGAATTATACCTGCTACATACAGAACATCCAGGATCCCCTTGAATTGTTAATTAGGTTGTGGAAAGTCATCCCAGGCTGGTCTCTAACTCATAATGATCTTCCTGCCTCAGCCTCCCGAGTGCTGGGATTACAGGCATGCGCCACCATGCCCAGCTTTAAATTTGTTTATGTTGTCATATGGCTTTCTTTCTTTCTTTCTTTCTTTATTTATTTATTTTTGGATCGGGACCTTTTATTTTGAACTCAGGACCTCATGCTTGCGAGGCAGGCAGCCGAACCACTGAGCTAATCCCCGGCCATGGCTTTGAATTATATTTAAGAATTCATATTGTTGGGAATAACAACAAGTACTATTTTACCATACTGTCTTTCTGAGGCAGGTGTTCCTAAAATTGGGGATTGAGACCTATTTGAAATTTTGATGAAATCTATGGCCCATCTCACTGAGTGGACAAAACTGATTCCATTCATTCTTGTTTGACAATTCTCCACCTGAGCAGAGATTATCCACGGCCCTGGCAGCTCTCCAGATCAGTGGGACACCTCTTATTGCTGCCCTTTCTAGAAGGAAGCACCATATCCCATTCCACTGGTGTGTAAACCGAAGCTCCTTATTGAGTTCTACAGTTCCCTTCCGTTTACACTCTCTCAGCAGTGATGTCTACTGGGTTGGGACTACAGCGGGTGGAGGAAGTGGCCCTTTTGGTTCTGTGTTTGATAGGGCTGCAGGGCCAGCTGCCATGCTGTCACAGGAAGGGAGGTCAGATTACAGAGTCCCCGTAGATGTCTAGAGCTACTTCCAGAGTTCCTATCCCACGGGTGGCACATATCACAGTGTCTCTTTGTAAAAATGAGTTAATTAATGATAATATTCACTAGTTTACACTAAATTATTACAACTTAATAAATGTCAAGTTGATTATCTAATAATACTGAGCAGAAAGCCCATTAGGCTCCCACGCTAAGTGCTAAGCCACATGAACAGACCACTGACACGTTTGGTCCACATAGTCCAATTGCAGGTTTGAGGTGTTTTGTGGGGTAATAAACTTATATCAAACATGGACAGTATAATATCAAAGTGATAAGATGATTGAAAACACATACTTCTCGACATGCTGGTGTAGGAAGAAAGGATGTGTTGTTAGGAGTTTTTTGCGGCTTTGCCCATCTCATCTCATATTAGCTGTCCCAGATTCCAAACTCATGTGTTCTCTGTCCCTCTCATAGGATCGGGGGAGCCATTCCCACTGTGTTCTCTTACTTTGCTGAAGTCCTGGCCCGGGAGAAACGGGGTGAGCATCTCAGCTGGCTCTGCATGTTCTGGATGATCGGCGGCATCTACGCCTCTGCCATGGCCTGGGCCATCATCCCGCACTACGGTAAGGGGCTGGCCTTGCACCAGCCAGGTGGGCGCCCATCTGCTTCACTTCCATCGCAGCCACTACCCTCCTTCTAAGTATGGGTTTGAGGCCAACACCATCATCATCATGTTTCTTGTGTCCATCACGTCTTCTTCCTGGGCACAAATCAAGCTAAAGCAGACTGTGTCCGTGGTCCTCTAGGTGGGGGAATGTGAGAGGGAAAGCATCTTCCTCTTCTTACTCTCACAGCACTTCCAGTCATCCAAATGTGTGGGGTGTTTTTACCTACCAGCTGGGTGAAGATACACAGAGCAAGATGAGGGGCTCCTGGCCACCTCCAGGCACACCATGCCCCTCGCTCCCTTCCTTCAGCAACCTGAAGCTCCCCAAGCCCCAGGGGTTCTTATAGAAGCTTCACCCTACAAGTCTCAGTGACTCTGCCCTGACCAGAGGATGGAGGGCAGTGCTGCACATTCAGAGCGTCTCACCCTGGCTCAGTCTTTCTGTGACAAGACCCCACCTAGGAGCCCAGCAAATAGTGCTTCATCAGAACACAGACACTCTATCACCAGAGATGTTCAAGGGACTAGATAGAATTCTGTGACAGGAGCGGAGGATGAAAACCAAAATACGTACTTCTTATTACAAAGCACAATATCATAATGTTCTACAGCTGGTGATTTGCTCTACAACAGAAGACAAAACAAAAATTTGATTGATTGAAAGATTATATTTTGTTTCTATGGCAAAGACCCTGGCAATGTAGCTGAGTATGAAGGCCCTGGGTTCAATCTCTAGTACAACAAAAAAATAAAAAATAAAAAAGGGTTCAGGAAGGTATTGTCTTGAAACTATTTATAAAGTTGCTGTTCATTCACTACAGTAGTGATGGTGACCCTTTTAGAGCTGTCAGTGATACAGACAGCCCGCTGTGGCATGGATGTCGTAGATTTGCCACCACTGATCTAGAGCATTTTGCTGCTTTTAAAGCCATTGCTTTCACTTGTTTGCCATGTGCTATTGCTCGTCAATGGAGGTAAGAGGGTATACAGAGCAGTGTCGGCATTTAAGACATGACTTACTTCATTCTTGCAACTCAGATCCACATGGGTGCCCTGATCCATCCCCTCTGGGTTCCATCCTAAGCCCAGCCCCTTGTCAGCCCCTGCTCTTCAGGCATTTCAGCCAGAGGTGGGAGCAGGAGGGATCCCATCTCGTGGACTCGCAGTTTGCAGAAGTCGGAGGTGACTCCACTTGTCCATACTCCCCTCACCCCCTCCTTACTTTCTCCTAAGCACTCACTGTTCTTCACCCTCAGTGCACCCAAAGCACCCTCTTGCTGGGCAGTAATCCTCTGCTAAACCAAGAGATCCAAGTTGTTTTGCACACAAACAATGAGTTGCAGGATTTTGTTTATTCTCTGCAGGTCACGTTGTTGATGATGAGTCAACAACCCAGGACTCAAAGTCAATTCATAAGGAAAAAGGAGGGAGGAAGTGGTTTTAGTCCCACAAGTACGTGCGTGCTTGTGTGTGTGTGTGTGTGTGTGTGTGTGTGTGTGTGTGCCTGTTTTATAGGCTGAAGTTTTCAAACCAAGAATACTATATAAATTTAAACTATGTGTGGTTTCAAAACTCACCTCTTGGGGATTGAGGTGTAGCTCAGTGGTGACTGCTTACCTAACACAAGGCCCTGGATTCAATCCCTAGCACTTTGCATTCTCAAAAGTCTAACCAATCTATAAAAATGAGATTTCAAAACTCACTCTGCTCATTTTCTATTTTTCATTATTTTTGTTCTCGCTCTATTTTTCATTTGTTATTTTTGGCTTTCATTTGGAGAGAGCAGTTTTTCACTATAAAGCATAGTTCATTAGAGAACAGCTCAGAGAATTTAACTCATGGTTAATATTAGATGTAGATGGAGCACTGTAATTTGTTTTACATATTGAATAGAAAATTCATGTTGTCACCTTCTTTTGGTAACCTCAAATTGTTCCATGAAGTCTGAAATTGTATTTAACAACAGCAATGATGAAAGACATAGGAGATGGTGACTTGGCCTATAGGGGACTTTTCTTAGTTCAAATTTAAAATGGGCTTGGGGTACAAGGTTGCCCATGGGTTCCTCATCCGTAAACTCCAGCCTCTTTTGGACCAAAGATGCTTTCATGTGCTCCATTTCCACCACAAGAATGTCTTCTGCCACCATCGGAGGAGTTAGACTTTTCTCCCTCCTCTAGGGCCCTGGGCCCTTAGGCCCCAGAGCCTCCCTCTTAGGGCAGCCCCACTCAGCTCGCTGGGTCAAATGAAAGGGAACTTCAGGGCTGCTTCTGAGAAAATGTGTCAAAGAGGCAAAAAGGAAATGAAGAGTTCTGGAATCCTGCTTTACCCGTCAGTGCACCCAGAGATGCTCCTAGTCCATCTACATGCAGCTTTTGTGCAAATTAAATAAGATGCCTCCAGGGGACACAGGTGATTCCCCGACCTACAGCTCCCCCCGATTGTCACCAGGCACTGGTTCAAGGCACAGCCTGTCAGCTTGGCAGCTGGATTAATGCACCCCTCCCACACACACCTTAGCCACCTCCTCCAGGCCAGCCTTGCCTCTCTCTCAACTTCTCAGCTTCTCGGGAGAGCACAACTCCTTGGCTCTGGCCCAACCTTCTCTCTGGACCTCCTTGATGCCCGGGCTTTATTTCTGTCTCCTTCCTGGCCCACGCTTCCCATCCTATTGCTCAGAGTGTCGCCTACAATCTTCTGAAATACTTAACTTGGATTGGCCTCTTCATGCTGAGCATGTCCAGCAACTAGGGGTCTGGTGCCTCCATATCTACCTGTCACACAATCCTGCCCTTGGATTGTGCATGACACGAGATTTTTCTCTTGCTCTGCTACCCGTCGGTCAGTGGCTGACCAGCAGAGAATAAACATAATCCCCACCTTTGTAACACACATAAAATACTTCCTGATTAGATCACAAAGGGCTAACCAATCTATATATATATACTTGGAATAAGGCAAGGTTATAAATCCTAGACAATGCATGAAGAGTTGCAAAAGTGATCACAACACAATGAAGTCTCATGTCTGAGGCTGACTCAAATTTTTGTGTTGGTGGCATCTTGAGAAATAATGACCTGGTTAAGAAATCAGTAGCAGAATATTAAAATCTTAGGGCCATATTTTATGGATGTCTTTCCATGGCCAGAAGTGCAGTACCAGCAACAAATTATTTCAATCAACTCTGTCAGCAAATTAAAATCAACAGGGGAGATCTTTGAAAAATACCCTTGCTGAGTTCATTGTTATACTTTTGCAACTTGGAGAGTTTTATTTTGTTTAATGATGATAATGTTCTATGTGATGGGGTTTTACAGGAACATTCACTTGAAAAAAATTGAATGCTACATTTTTGCACATATTATATGGCTGTTTCAGCTTTTCAGAAACACTCTTCAGTAAGATTCATACTTCCCTGTGCCCTAAAAATACTTTCCCACACTTGAGTCCTACACCAAATCAATCACTGGATTCTTTGGACTGATGATCAGCATTGAGAACTTTTATCCTTTTTCTTTTCTAGTTTAATGTGTGGTTGACAAATAAAAATTAAGTAAATGGGTGCAACTCAATGTTTGGATCTATGAATCCTTGTGAAATAATTATAGTATTGAGCTAATTAATGTATCTATCACTTTCCATTGCTGTCTTTCCATGTGTGTAGTGTCAGCCCCTAAGATCTATTCCCACATCAAATTTCAAGGACCTGATGTGTTATTAGTCACTATATCAGACATTAGGTCCACAGAACTTACCATCTCATAACTGAAGGTTTAAACTCTTTGACCTGCATCTCCCTTTTCCCCTGGCTCCAAGCCACTGGTAACCACTCTTCTTCTCTTTGCTTCTTTGACTTTGATTTCTTTCAGATTCTGCATGTGAGAGCAGGCAGCATTTGTCCTGTCTCTGGCATGTTTCATTTAGTATAATATCCTCCAGTTTCATCCATGTTGTTGTGGTGGCAGAATTTCCTTCTTTTCTTAAGGTCAAATAATCCTACATTTTGAAGTTTTACAGTTCTACAGTTTAGGTCTTACATTAAAGTCTTTAGGTTTGTATTGTTTCTTTTTGTGTATGGTACAACAGATAATCCTGGAGTAATTTCATTATTTTATGTGTGGATAGAGGATGCCCTTCTTTCCATTGTGTATCTTTGCTGCCTTTGTGCAGGATCTGTTGACCATTGTATTGGTCTGTTCTCCTGTTGCTAGGACAGAATACCTGACATTCTCAATTTAAAGGAGAGGTTTATTTGGGCTCATGGTTGTAGTGAGTTCAGTCAATGGTCAGCTGGCTTCAAGGTAGAAGTACTATAACAGAAGAGCATGACATAGTACTCACTGCCTCAAACTAGTTCCCCCCCTCCAATATCCCAATTAACTGTGAACTCATTGGTTAACCCATTGTCGAGCTCAGGCCCCTAACCATCCAGTCCCTCTCCTGGAGCCTCTTAATCCAACCAAGTTGACAATCAAGATTGACTGGCACAATCCTATATGATTAATTTTTTCTGGGCTCTCTATTCTATTCATTGGTTGATATCTGTGCTTTTGCCAGTACCATACTGTTTAGGTTACTATAGATTTATAATATAAGTTTGAAACCAGGAAATGTGATACCTTCAACTTTGTTCTTGTTCAAGACTGCTTCAATTCTTCAGAATTTTTTTGTAATTCCACAGATTTTAGGATTTTTTTTTCTATTTCTGTGAAAGCAGTGACATTGGGATTTTAACAAAAAGTACATTGATTCTGTTGATAAACTTAGGTAGCATTAGCATTTTGACAATACTGACCTTCCAATCCATAAACACAGGGTATTTTTCTATTGATTTGTCTCTTCTTCAATTTCTTTCACCAGTGTTTAAAGTCTTCTATGCACAGATCTTTCACCTCCTTGGTTAACTTTATTGTTATGGATGCTATTGTAAATTAAATTGTTTTCTTAATATTTTGT